GTTGTGCTCTTCTGATACCACCTGCAGACATTTCTCTCCGAACGAATCAAGCCATGGTCTGAGTTTCATCTTCCTTTTTTGTCTCTGACACTGTCAAGTTGTTTGTAAAATGTAATGATGTCAACAGAGATTGAACTCTGCTGCATGACATCACATCAGAAACAGGGGTGTAGCGTGTGTCTGCTTCCCAGTACATTTGGACTCCAGACATTTGCACTAGGCCCATCTTCAAGTACATGGCAATCACTTGCTCAGCTTCTTTTGTGTTGGTGTTTATAGATGTTTCAGTCTTTTTAAGGCTGTACTCATTTGTGTTTTTGTCAGAGCCTGAATCCTGTCTTCCAACACAAACCTCTGGAAGAACTCCAGTGGTGTGTGAAGGGAAATTGCAGCACCAGTGACATCTGGACCAGAACAATCAGTATTGGGACTGAAAAAGTCCTTTTTTAGCCAGCAATACCTGTCACAGGAAATGGGCTGTTTGTTTGGTTGGTTTGGTGGCAACATGATCACTGTGTGGACAGTCAGAAGGATGTTGATTTTCTTTGTCCAGCATCTTCATCTGCCTCTTCATCACTTGCATCAGTGTTATATGATTCCATCTGAAAATTACTCTCCCCATTTTGGATGGCAACAATCACATCCTGCACATTGAACACAAGACCTTTCTTTGCTGGTGGCATTCTGAAATGGAAAAAATAGTAACTATTAGATATACATATAGAGTATAGTATACAGCGTAAATAATTTCAATGCAAATAATCCTATTTACAAATTACACTGAGGTCACACAATACTGTCTGGCTAGCCTATTATGCTCACTACTTACCATACTAAAAAGGACTACATGCAACCCCCCAGACCACTTACATTCCCCCTTTCTGTCTTGGACCAGGGCGGATTTTTGGTGACAGCGTGGCATGATGCAAGCAGGAACAGAGAGTGGACAACTCACTTGCAGCTCAGGGATCACTGGGGTTTATTAAAAGGGGAAAAACACTAGGGTCACTAATAAAACAAAAGCAGACCACGAGGGGTCTAAAACAAAACAAGGAATAACAGCAACAAAATAACAAACAGATGCGGGCGGGCGGGCGGGCGGGCGGGCAAAATACAACAAGCGTGGACAACTAACATTCAAAGAACCAACAGGGAAATGAACAAAGGTAGGAACTTAAATACTAAGACTAACAAGACTAACACAGGGCAGGTGAGACTAATTGACATGGGTAGGGAAAAAAGGCAACAGATGAAACTAATAATTCAATTAAGTGACCCCTGCTGGCCAAACAGGGAAGGGACACAAAAGAGACAAAACAGGTGCCGACCCTGACACATTCAAAAACATTATCACCTGTCCCAAAGCAATGCACCAATCTTTCCCCCAAAACATTCCTGCACATTCAGAACTTGTTTATGCCTAATGCAACAAGAACCTGTTTGGGCAAAGTCCAGAAAAACATCAAAGGATCAGAATAAAAAAAAAAATAAGATACAGATAGAGCTTAAAATACTGCAACCGGGAAATAATGTGTTCCTTTACTTAATTCTGGTCAAAACTCCAAATTGTAACAAAGAAAATACATTTACAACATTTGAATCACCATAAACACTTCATATCTATTATTCTAGTCACTCCCCGGTCGTCCGATCCTCCTGTGTGCCAGGCCCCCCTCTCTACCTCGTGTGGAATCCCCGTGTTCCCAGTGGTTCCTCGTCATGTTGATTACTGTTACGTTTAACCCTGGGGAACCCACGGGGTCATATACGACCCTTCCTATTATTTCTGCCTTACATTCAACCCACTCATCAAAGTTAACTTTTTTTTTTTGCTTTACAGCCCATTGTACCATATACTGTATGCCCCAGTAACAGTGACATTTAGTGATTATTGACTGAATTAACCAGATCGAATGGAGCCAGTTGATGTGGTCAGGCATCTATGTAGGATGCCTCCTTGATGGCTCCCTGGGGAGATGTTTCAGGCATGTCCAACCAGGAGGAGGCCCTGAGGCAGACCCAGGACACGCTGGAGAGGTTATATCTTTCGGCTGGCCTGGGAACACCTTGGTATTCCCCCAGAGGAGCTGGAGGAAGTGGCTAGAGAGAGGGAGGCCAGGGCATCCCTGCTTACACTGCTGCCTCAGCGACCCGACCCCAGATAAGTGGTGGAAAATGGATGGATTTCTGAAAAGGTTGCAGTTTTGAAATAAATATAAGTTCAACCCCCCCATAGAGTTCAGTGTTTTTTTCTCTGACCTGCTCCCCGCCACTCACAAACACAAACAATTACTTCACAGTTTGGATACCTTTGGTATATAGGATGAATATTGGTTAAGTTGGACAAAGGGTGAAATGGGACACGTATGTGTTCTCAGATATGGTCTATTAACTTAAAAATATGTCGGTAGGATGAAGGTCAGTTCTAGAGCTTTAATAATAAGTTGTATTTTAACAATTATAATTTTAATAATTACAATTATATTATTAGTCTTGATTTGTATATGAAGAGAATATTTAATGAGATTAATCAGATTAACAATGACTAGAGTATAAGAAAAAGCGCAAGTCCTGCTCTTTTTCAACAGGGCCCACATCCACCAAGGGGAAGAAGGTTAGGCAAAATGGGGAAGAAAAGTGGACCACTATTCCTCAGGGCCACAGCTACAGGAGAGCAGAAGAAGACATTATTGGGAAAGGCCTGTATGCCCACAACAGTGATGCATGCAAGCTGTGTTAATTTCAAGGCCTTCACAACTTTCATCAACAATTAGTATCATGTTTTTCAAGTGAAGCAGAAAGTAAAATTTTATAAATTATCTCAGTTTATCCACCCTACCATTAGTTAATCTCTCACAGTTCTTACTTTTCTGTAACAGAAAAAGCATCTGCCCAGGGTTGGTTCCTGCATGCGCCCCTTGTTCCCAGGATAGGCTCTGGACCCCCCACAACCCAAAAGGATAAGCGGTTTGGAAAATGTATGGATGGATGAATGAAGTCAGTGAATAAATGTAGAAAATGTGTGCAAACACTTTTGACTGGTAGTGTATAAATTACATTTTCAAACATGGACATTAAAGCACACACAAAAGAATATTAGCAACCACATAATTGGTGAGGAAACATTCTGCAAATTGTCATATAAAAGAAATGTGCAATAAATGAGTAAGTATACTTTCAGACCTACATATCACAACAAGGACTCACAGTACTCAGGTAAAAACATATCTATTACTGTAACTTTTACATTTCCAGGTGGTCCATCCAGAACTTCTACAAATTTAACAAATTGGTTAGTGTGGGACGAGTATGGATTAGGGCTGTCCAGATAATACAATGTTGTCCTTTCTGACACCACCAAATCTATGTATAACATCTGTTTTTCTATCCCCTTCTCCTCCTCACAATAGGTGGTACATACGCTGAGATAAAATCCTGCAGGCGCCCATGAGTTACACAATTATATAAAAAATATGAGTGGTAGTGTAATGTTTTGTGTCTTGTTATAGAGAAACAGCCTTTTTTTATAAATTCGTTTTCTGTTGCTATAGCTGTTTTTCATTTTTCAACCATAAGTAGTGTTAAATATACTAATGGCCATACTTTGTGCATGCAAAACAGTTGCTATTGGTAGAGACTAAAAGCACACCTTCTCCTCTAGAGTCCTCTTACTACTCTGCCTTAGATGCCTAATGAACCCCATAAGGAGATTGTACCCTGCTGAACCTGAAAATGAGTCAGTCACTAGAAAACATGCAGCACAACAAAAAGCTTTGAGGAGTTTGCCCTCTATACCTTGTGACTTCCTGTCATGACCATTTAACTCAGTATTGAATCTTAGCCTCGGTTGCTCTCCAAAGTTTCAGCAAACAAGTTGGTTGTCACCAGGTCATTGTCACTGATCTCAAATGTTCTTGTTGCATACTGATAATGAGCTGTGCCATTATGCATATTGCTAATTATTTTGGTAATTGCATTCTACAGTTGTAACCACTCTTTTACAGTACCTGTTATAATTTAAGTTTTATACTTAGCACCTAATAAATTTGCAATTAGTCACATGATCTAATGATGTAAGAGAAGTCAAAATAATGGATCAGGGAGGAAAGCTGAAAGATGATATGCTATGCTGCATATGCTGCAATTTACTATATGTCATCATTACGAAAATTAGGTATTTAAATGATATGGAATAAATGTAGACATGTTAATACAATAGGAAGCACCCAGCATATAAATTTCGTACATGCATTTAGAAATAAATAAATAAATAGGATTTTCCCTTTTTTAATAATTACACAAGTAAGAACTCATTAGTGAAAAAAACACTAGCCACGGGACTGAGAAACACTGCGCTGAACTGATTTGTTTTAGTTACGCATGTTGTTTTTGCACAATAATCCACCAATTAACATCTAGCACCCAACAGTACCAATTTTGAGAGATGATTAGGTAGCTATTTTTTGGCTCCAAAGATGATTTTATCCATAATGAGGCCTACCTGGTGCACTGCATGTTATTTCCCTTATTATTTGCTAACTTTAATTATACCCAGACGGTTGCTTTTTTCCATCTCCTCCCTGTTAAAAAAGGGCATTTTCACTATCATTATCACATAGCACTTGGGCAACTTGGAAGACTGGAGCCAAGAGTTCACCGGTAAGAACAGAATCTATTTTAACAATTTTGCCTGGTAAAATAGAATAATTTATTGCATTTTTAACTTTTAAACCAACTGACAAATGACATCAGAGAAGATTGCTGGATTAGAGTAAAATATTTTTATGTACCTGCTAAAATTATTAACACTTTAGGTATGAAAAACACAACATCTATTATAACTAGTTGTGGGTATATTAAATAAAGCAAAACAAACCTCTATCTAAGTATTTTTTTTCTACTGTATCCTATCTTGATTTAAATTAAACATTAAAGCAGCAGGACACATAATTGTTATTCACTGTATTTCTGTCTTATTTTATTTAGGATTACAACCTTAAATGAATTCATCGCTGGTTTCCTACAATGGCACAGGTGCTTCAGACAGTGGCTTTTATATCATTGCATTCCAGACTTTACAGAACAAAAACTACTTGATTCTTGCTCTATCCTTCATTTTCTTTATCACGCTCATGGGTAATCTCGTCCTGTTGGCTTTTGTGTACTTGAACCCGAGCTTGCACAATCCAAAGTATGTAGCAGTGTGCAACCTTGCGGTGGTGGACATCTCCATTAGCAGTGTTATCATTCCTCAAATGGTGCCAGTCTTTGTTCTAAACCTGAACTATGTGTCATTCGAGTTGTGCTTTTCTCAGATGTTTTTCCTACATTTCTTTGCTGACATGGAATCTTTTTCTTTGGCTGTTTTGGCATATGATCGCCTAGTTGCTATATGTCTCCCTCTACGGTATCCAGTTATAAACACCATTCAAAGAATGTGCCTCATTCTGGCTGGTGTATGGTTTCTGGTTTTTCTCCTGGAGATTTACCCTGTGAGTCTGGCCTCTAGATTGTCCTACTGTGCTTCCAGGGTTATCCGTAGCTGTTGCTGTGAGCATGGGCCTGTGTACATACTGGCCTGTGGTGACACTTCATATAATAAGAGACTAGCAACAGCGAAGACGATGGTTGTTCTACTGTGTCCTCTGACTTTCATCATCATCACCTACCTTATAGTGATCATCACAGTGCTGAAGATTGCTTCTGTGGAACAGTGCTGGAAAGCCTTCAACACCTGCTTTACACACTTGCTCCTGGTTCTGACTTATTACCTGCCTGTGATTCTAGCATATCTGTTAGGAAATGTGCGTTTGATGTTGACTCCAGACCTGCTGACTGCAATTCTAACTGTGACCGCCACTTTGCCTCCCATGCTGAATCCCATCATTTACAGCCTCAAGACAGAAGAACTGAGGGTAATAATAATGAAGGTGCTTGGATGGAAAAAGATAGCCCCTGAATTAAGCAATAAACATTCAACAATCAACTAAAACTGTTCAATGTTTTCATTCCATTGATTAAAACTGGACATTTATTTTTTAGGATTTTGCTTCCATTATTCATTATTCTTTTCATTATTCTGTTACTCATTATTGCATATGTGTGTAATTAACCATGTTTGTGTACCCTATTAATTAATTTTTAATTTATTAATTTTGTTTACCCTATTAATTTTTTTGTGAAAATAATTGTATATTTATTGCATGTAAATGTACTATAAAAAAAATGTATATATTGGAAAATAAAAAAATGTATGTAATTTGAGACAAATAGAAAGTACCAGAAAAATGGAGTTAAAGCTTCCTATTTTATCTGTTTTTTAAATTTTCTTTTTTATGAAGGTGTTATTAATTTTTGGTAATTAACAAAGCATATCCTAACAACAACCTGACTCAAATTAAACAGGCAGTACTCACAGAACCAGTAAAATCAGATATGAAATATATAGATTAAATTTAAGAAAATAAAAATAAGCATATATATAACATAAAAATTAATAGAAAAAGAGATTGTTGAAGGAATTCACAAGAGTATTTATTATATTCTATAGTAAAATCTATGGATGCTCAAGTACATTATGTAACACTGAATACTTTTTGCATATTATCTACGCACATCCTTCTATATACTTTAGATCATCTCTAGATTACTTGTAATACCTAATACTTTGTAAATGCTTTTTAGGGAAGAATGACAAGAAAAAAGTATGTTCAGTACAGATGCAGTCATTGTACTACATATTTAGCGTAGAGCTCGACGCATGGCAAATTCAAGTTTTGCTTTTTGGATCTTTCTGGATCTTTCTTTTTTCTGAATATTTTTGATCTGTGCTGGTTGAATCTGTGGATGTGGACACATAATCCTGCAAAGGATGATGGCTCACTGGGCATCCCCACAGGAAAATTTAATTGCTCAAAGAAATCATTCATAGCTACTGAGACTTAATGATGATTCTCAGTTACAGTAAGTTTCAGCTGAATAAAGTTTGATCATTCCTAGCTCATGAGATTTAATGGTGATTCTCCATTAAGTTTCAGTTAAGTATTAACTTTGTCTCAGGTTTTTCTTAGGACAAACAGCTTCAGACAAAAAAGGCAAAAAAATAAGACACATCATTGTACTAAATAGCATAGTACTAATGAAGGGAAAGCTTGCTCTTTTGCTGTACTCCTTATAAAACTGACAATGCAGCATTATTATACATTTAATTAACTTAATTTAAATTAACTATTAACTCTAATCATAATAAGTTTTCAAACACAAGCAATAATATTTTTTTTACCTTTTAATTCTTGCAATACATTGCAAAACAAACTTGTCATCACACCATAAACAATATAAACAAATCTGGAAAGTGACCTGCAGACCTGCAGGTACATAAATATATTAAACTCTACAGGAACTCAAAACATCTATACTGATTTGCTTTACAGGTTACCACGTGATAAAACAAAAAACTGTCGAATAAGATAGCTTAAATAAAAAAAAAAATACAACTTAAAATGCAACAGGCAATAAAGATGGGTGTTGAACAAATACAAAGAATTCACAAAAGAAAGCAATATTTGCAGCAAATCCAAGGTCAACAAAATTTAATTAAAACAAAGAGGTACATTTAGGTACATTTCGGCCCTTGCACGACACTTATTTATCGAAGCCTCCTCGAGCTTGACTGGTTTCCATCCACTCAGTCTGCCACAGCTCATGACATAAGCTGCAATTGGGAAAAAAGCCAATGAAAGTGACTGATTAATTGTTATTGTGAACACACCACACCACAGCACAGCACACAGTGCACCACAACAAAATGTGACCTCTGCATTTGACCCATCTCTGAAGGAGCAGTGGGCAGCTGAAGGGAGAAGTGCGTCGGGACACTTCTGTGCTCACAGGTACCTCTAGGTTACCTTTACCGGTCTGGAATTCAATCCAGCAACCCTCCAATCACAGGATCAACTCACTAATCACTACAGCACCACTGTCACACGGTATATGGCATCACATACTGTGTCATATACTCATGCAGTACAATATTGCACAATACCATCTGTGGGAGCTGTAATGTGGAACATTATTTGATTATATTTGGCAGTCTTCAGAAAAGACTCAAAGGTCTTTGACAACTTATTTGTCCTGTAATTATGCATGGAAAGTTACATGAAATTGTATCATTGTCTTGAAACTTTGACAGTTAATCCAGTCACTTAATGGTATTATCATATTTACTTACTGTATATTTAAGCATGTTTCCTATTTGGGACCAGCAAAGACCACTTTTATTAAATACAACGGTTTTTCCTTTACAAGGACATTTAGCCAGTAATGCATGTTATTCAATAAGGAAAAAAACTTAATAGAAAGCATTTAGCATAAAATTTTAACCCTTTTGATGCATTCTGTCTCACTGGCAAGCGGGCGAGCAGGGAAGCAGGCAAGTGGAGCCGTAACGACAGACAGACGGGGTTTATTTAGGTAACAGGACTAGCAGACAAAGAACAGCACTTGACAATACAGACATTACAATGACGGATCTGGGGAAACTAACTGAGACACGGACTAAATACAAAAGACTAGCCAGACATAACAGGACACAGGTGATCACAATCGGNCTAGGTTACCTTTACCGGTCTGGAATTCAATCCAGCAACCCTCCAATCACAGGATCAACTCACTAATCACTACAGCACCACTGTCACACGGTATACTGTGTCATATACTCATGCAGTACAATATTGCACAATACCATCTGTGGGAGCTGTAATGTGGAACATTATTTGATTATATTTGGCAGTCTTCAGAAAAGACTCAAAGGTCTTTGACAACTTATTTGTCCTGTAATTATGCATGGAAAGTTACATGAAATTGTATCATTGTCTTGAAACTTTGACAGTTAATCCAGTCACTTAATGGTATTATCATATTTACTTACTGTATATTTAAGCATGTTTCCTATTTGGGACCAGCAAAGACCACTTTTATTAAATACAACGGTTTTTCCTTTACAAGGACATTTAGCCAGTAATGCATGTTATTCAATAAGGAAAAAAACTTAATAGAAAGCATTTAGCATAAAATTTTAACCCTTTTGATGCATTCTGTCTCACTGGCAAGCGGGCGAGCAGGGAAGCAGGCAAGTGGAGCCGTAACGACAGACAGACGGGGTTTATTTAGGTAACAGGACTAGCAGACAAAGAACAGCACTTGACAATACAGACATTACAATGACGGATCTGGGGAAACTAACTGAGACACGGACTAAATACAAAAGACTAGCCAGACATAACAGGACACAGGTGATCACAATCGGGGATTCACACGAGGTAATGAGGGGGGCGTGGCACACATCAGGATCGTACGGAGCGGGGCGTGACAGAACCCCCCCCCAAAGGCGCGCACACCGGGCGCGCCCGAGAGGAGGCGACGGACGAGACGAGGGGCCCAAAACCTGGAAAACAAAAGCATCAACGGGGAACAGGAAACAGGACTGAGACACAGAACAGGAACAGGGACCAGAAAAACGACAAGACCCAACAGAGGACAGGGAACGCAGACAGGCAGACAGAAAAGGCGACACGGAGGGAACACCCACAGGCGACATGAAGGGGCCAGGAGTGAACAGAGGAGGAACAGAGGGACCGGCCGGAGGGGCCGCAGGCGAGAGGGAGAAGGGAGCTGAAGGGGACCACCCAGGGGCCAAGGGAACGGGACGAGGGAGTGACGGAGGGAACACAGAGGGAGCAGAAGGGAACACCAGTGCAGGCAGGCAGGAGGGGGAAGCCGCGGCAGGCGGAGGCGCAGCCGAAGCCGGGGAAGGCGCCATCCGACGCCCAGCCGGAGCAGGGGGGCCCGGAGGCGGCCGACACGGAGCCGGAGGCGGGACCGAGATATACATTAAAATAAAGATGAGTGTAATGGCAAAACAAATATACAAGAAATAATTTATTTGCCATGAATTAAGTTTATGATATTTGAAGAAATGTGTGATCATGCCCCAGTCAGTGAAAGTGTGTTTCCTACCCCTAGACCCCAGAGAGTTAATGAAAGTCATTGGATAACCACATGAGTATTTGGCTGGAAAGTATATTCAAAATTCATTCGAGTAGGCTGAAATGTGTTCTTGAAATCCATCACTTGAATGATCTATATTTCTTGTCTATTCTTAGATCATTTTTGCTATTTTTAATGCGACACAATAATCATTATTTAGTTTGTTGTACTTTGTACTGTGGACTGTGAACTTTTACTTTTAATTCTTTATTAATTGTGATTAAGTTAATTAATTGAACAAAATATAAATTCCAATTTAATTGAATTTCTGCTGGAGGAGCTGTTATTGCAATGAAACTGGATAAAATATATGGGAGCAGAAATATAAAGTACAGATATTTTATGGGTTCCACTGAAATAAAGGTAGCTGATTACGAGAAAGATCT